AGGGAAAGACATGCCAGAAATGGCCCGAAATATCGTATTTATGAGGGAACATTTCACCATAACTCTTCAGTCAGAAGTGAGACATTGTATCCCCATCCTCAATTATTAAGCAATTCTGAACATTGACTTGTTACTCTGAAAAATGCTGAAAATATCACATAGAATATTCTGTGAAATCTTTTCAGCCTAGGTATAAATGATGTTAATAATAGTATAAGTGAACAGAGTTCACACCAATTAATATTAATCATAAAAGCATTCTTTAAAATGTGAAGATTAAATATCATGCCACTCAAGGCTAGCAGGGATAGAATTCAGATTTTACAATTATGCAATTCAATGTCAATATTAAGAAAGAAAGAAAGGGAGAAAGGGAGAAAGAAAGGGAGAAAGAGAGAAAGAGAGAGAGAGAGAAAGAGAAAGAGAGAATAATTTCTTTCAGTTTGTATTCACAGGCTACAATTTGGAAGAGGGTTGCTAACCTGCTTATGATTCCCTGGCAGAAAGACAGAGAAACTACACTGAAAATTTGCCCCAGGCTGTAACCTTCATACTTTGAAGCACAATTCATTCTGCAATTTGTCAGTCTCCTCTTTGTTATAAAACACACCATCGTACGAAGTACACGTCCTCATGATAATATATAAAAGCTCACAATTTCTAATGCTTCCAAAGCAAAAGCAAAACATTGCTCTACAAATCTTGTATTGTGAAGCAAACGTTTACCACAGCAACAAAATCCAAACCAAAAATCTGCATCTTTGAAAACCATTCATAAAGAGCACTTCCCTTGGAAAGCAAGACGGGTTCTTCTTCTACAGCTTAGAGTAATAATATATATTATGTCTACTAAATTGCAAGTTGAAAGTTACGATTATGATTTATGAGGAAGAAATAATACTGGAGAGATGAGAGTCTGAAGGAGCTGATGAAAATACAAGCAAAACATCGTGCTGCCTCATTAGGCCGCTGCATCATCCAAAGGAATGAGTATTTCGGCTTTGAGCAGCGGTCACGAGATGCTCTCTCCCCTGCAATGGCCTGTCCAACCCACTGAATGGAGCTGGCCATAAATGGGGGATTTCTGCTCTGCCTCTCCTGAGCAACACAGCTACACCTCAAACCATGAGACTGATTTAGCTTTATTGTGGTTTTGAACACCCACAGATGCAAACATTAGTAATGGTCACATTACCCAGGCCTTTATAAAAATATGATGGCAGCGTGTACCTTGATGGCTTCTGGCTACAGCAAATTATAAGTGGAATATGACTACATCTTGCTCCAAAGCATTTTATTTTTATTAGCATGCATATATAAAAGAAGAATGCCCCTTGCTGCACCATAGGGGCATGCAAACATTTGATTCTTAACAGAAATTGTATGTGCAAATCCTCCCTGACAAGGGTATGTCTTCATGAAGAACTATATTTTCAAGGTAGCTTATATTTCTTACCTGTATGGTAAAATGTGAGGAAAAACAAAAGCACTCCCATAAACACATTACTCAAAAAGGTGACAACTCCGCAGGTAATTCCTTCTGGAACGGGGTAGACTGTCTCCACAAAGAGCTCAAAGAATATTGGTACGCTGCTGTTGAGGAATATACCCAATAAAATGCAGGATGTGTACAGTGTAGCTACAACAGAAACAAAAACAGTTATTAATTTAACACTGGCATTTTTTCTCCCTATTCAGAGCCAAGAATACTAATGCTTGGATAACTAAAAAATACATAAACTTACTTCTATCCCCTGTGTACCATAAAGTGTATCATATCCTACCAGTTTCAGGCAGAATGTACACAAAACCCCAGAAGTACTGATTTATTTTCGTTTAAACAGAATACATTCAGTGATTTGTAACTTACTTGTATGTAAAACAAACAGATTAAATTATGAATGCAAAGCATCACCTACAGTTTGATTTACCTCCGAAATGAACAGAAGCTATTGTCCTACACACAACAGGACAGGGAGCAATTAATGCATCAAATTGGAAATGGACATGGATTAACCTTTTGACTTAGCTCTAGAGGTCAAAACTAACGTTGCTTCCATTATACAAATAAATCCTAATGATCTACCAGATATCAAGACATTAGTATTCATCACGGCCTGAGCTGCAACATGTTGAATCCCTTTTGGCTTCAAAAGGAAATGAAGGGCACCCAGCACCTGGGAGGAACAGGACATATTTGATAATGCAGATTATTCACTGCTGTACAGAAAATTGATTTTCTTGGACAAATCAACAGAAGAATAGAGACATTTCTTCAGCAGCCTCAAGTATTTTGTTCTATGATTTCTGACACTGCCAAATACTTCACAGTTCTTAGGATCTTAATTAGACATTTAATACAGCTGTATTATCTACTGATAAACCTATTAGATTTATTTCTGAAAAAAAAAGGAAAAAGAAAAAAAGAAAACTTCAGAAGAACTTAGTACCTATTCACATATTTAAATAAGTCTTTGCTAAGTACTGTCTTGGGGAGGGAAGATTTCCTGACCTGCAGCCTCAACAACCTGACATTATGGATCAAGTACAGAATAAAAGGAAACAATGAAAAAGCTTGGGAAAAATAAAAAAGTCTGGAATAATTTTTTGTTTTCATCAAAATCACAAAAAAAGGTAAAGAAAAATTTTTCAGATGTGGAAGTGTTACCTAGTCACAGGGAAATTATTTATAACTTCTTTTCACTGCAGTGTGGTAGAAAACTCCTTAGATCACGTTTTCCCTATAGATATATATGCTTATATAAGATAGAAAATGCATTTTCAGTTTAATTTATGTTATTCTGTCTTAGAAAGGGGAAAACTGAAACAGCTCTGCTACATTTTCTGTTAGGCATTGCTCAATCTTTCAATTGAGAAACTGTTAGGAGGCAGGAAACTTTCAGCTTAAAAAATATAAATGTTAAAATATCACTGTTTCTTAAAATATGGAGAATCATGGAAAAGAGATAAAGGCATTAAGAAGCAGAAAGGGCTATCTATCAGATCCTCCAATTGATGTGGCTTGCTTCCAAGGCACAAAGACATATTTCTTTCTCTACAGAGGATTTTCCTGGACAGGAAAGAGAGGGTAGAAGACTCAGCCAGAAAGATGATACAGATGGCAAGACTTCAGGAGGGACAGCTGGCCCGCTTTTTTTTTTTTTTAATATACCAGAACGTTCTGAGTTGATAAAAAAAATAAAAAAGAATAATAAACAATGTTAACTTTTTCAACTCTCAAATTCTCTCAATATAAGCTGCAAAATAAAAGTCAAAGAAATGGATGCCAGGTATGTTCAGGAGTTCTTAGAGAGGAAGAAAAACCCAATCCAGTATTAGGATGCTCTTCCTAATCGGCTTTTCGAGATAAAACTGAAGAACTGATTCCCTAGTTACAAGATCCACAGATTTTTTGCTGCAAATTCTCACAAGTATTTAAAATTCCATGAGCCTCTCTTTGAAGTCCTATTTACCTCAAACACAACTGCATATTGCTCTAACTGTCTGTAACTGCTATCAGGTGGAGCCACCAAATCTGAGCACTGAATTCAGCTATTTGGTATTTTTGTGTTGGCTTGAGAAACCAACACATGAATGAAACAGAAGAATTTAAAAGGAGCATCTGCCCCTCATTGCACTCAGTTGAAGATACTGATGGATAACTACTTGTAACTTCTTGAGAACATTTCCAGAACTTTCCCCAAAGAAAAGAAGGTGGCAGCCAGCTGTAATTCTTCATTAGAAACTCAAGCACTAGAAACAGTCATGAAACTGCTGAAAGCCACAATAAGCACTGTCCAAAGTGGAGCTGCATACAGAAAGTGCCAGAGACAATACCTCTACAGGAAGACCAAAACCTCTTCCATAAACAACACTACTAGGAAAGGGGAACCGTGTGCCTCTGAACAGATGTGTAGTTTCTGAAAACTTAAGATGTACTTGAGTTGAAGGCAAAAATATGCATCTAAGATTAGCAGCCATTTTAAAGACCAATCCTTCAAACTGTAGTCAATATAGTAGGTGTAAAAGCTTCCACATAACAAACAGAACCCTTCAAAATAAATTTGATAGTTTAAAATATGCTAGTTGAATTCCATCATTGCTCATCACTTACTAAAATGTATTAAAATGACTTGATCATACGGAATAAAGCACAGTAACTACTTCAGAAACGACACCGTTACATTTCCTTGTCATGCAAATAGCCCCACCGGCACACACCTCACCGGCTCACACCTCTGTACTACCAAGAGCAAAGCAGCTTTACCATTACCTTTTGATTTTCCCCAGGTACCACCTGCTTCATGTGTGCAAGCCAAAACCAGCCAGCTGAATACTAATGACACCACCTCAGCTGAGATCACAGGTAATACAAAACAAGGTCCACATCTATGTACTCTCTAATTTGGAATTAATAAGCGGAAATGTCAAGGCAAAAGGACAGGCAGAATATAGCATCCAGCAGATGCCAATTTAATTTCTAATATCTAATGGAAAAGAGAGCTTTTAACGGCAAACCACGAGAAGGAGCTCAGAAAGTGAAGGAGACGTACACATCTGAAAGCCTCCCTTAAATTGGTACATACTGTAGTGATGGGAAAATATGTTTTATTTTGTGTTTCTGTAAATCCTCCAGGGTCTTCCTGCACGCTATACAAACAAGCTTATTCCATTAAATTGGCAATTAAGTCAAATCCAATTGATCAGCTAGACAGAAAGTCAAAGATAAGATATACAGTTTCAGAAAAATAAGTTACAGAAAGAAGTCAAGTAGGAGCTCAAAAGTGGGTTTTGTCTTTTATTTCATGCACTAAATAGCACCCCTCATATTCCAGCTCTTGTGCAACAAGATAACGCAGCAGGGAGAATACCACCTATTAACGGAGACCATTTACTTTCCATTACAGCAACCTTGCACTGAATGAACACAAACCATTACCATGATTTTATACTGTAGAAGAACAGCTGCTAAAGTTACAGCAATTGTTTTTTCAATTAAGACAATCTTGATGACAGTCATTGGAAATGAATATAAAGATATGAAAGCACTGACAAAAAAAAATTATAAAGAGATGATTTACCAAGAATTTAACATTATGTCCTAAAGCCTAATAAGGACAAACAACTAGCTTGGATAGTTGCTTCCCATACACTGGGGAAGCATGTCATGCTATTACTAGAAAAAAGATCACTTTTTCTGAGGAAAAGGAATTAACTGCCTATGAGGCTATGCACAAAGTTGTGTACCCAACAAAGTGGCAGCTGTGGACATCAATAAATAATGGAACTGGGCTGAATTTGATTAATGTCACATTTTAAAGATGTTTGCGTGAACTAAGCGGCTATTTCACAGGTTGGCCACTGCAAAAAGAGCAGGAAAGGCAAAACACTCATCTAAAGCACAGCTGCTTCAGAGAATTGGCCGGGAGCTGCCACAGCAGGAGGCTCAGGCTAGATGTCATCATGCAACCTTCATGCTTGGGGTGTGAGGCAACCCATGCTGTTCCCTCAGCGCTCATCTCCTCCTGGCCAGGAAGGAAGCAACAAAAGAAATGTGCCTTGGTAATGGCAACAGTGATGGTACCAGTCAGATGAAGTGAGGTACCCGCAGGGGACTGATGGAGATACACTGGCTTAGCACAAAAAGGAGAGAAAGCCCTGAGAAGGAAGGTTCCTTCCCGGCTGCTTATCCCCTGCACATCTTCAGCTACAAGATGGCAAATACATGCCCATAACCCAGAAACAGACCTCCTTTTCTCACAGCCACAAGGTGTGGCAAAAGCTTTATACCAATGAAGATAAAAAAATATTAGTGCGATAAAATTAGGAATTGTACCAGGGAAGTGATTTAAACGACGGCACGTACTTTGTGCCCCCCGATGAGCTTGCAACACAGCAGGAGTCTCAAGTACCTCTGACATCCAATCAAGTTCCCAGAACTTCCCAGGATGTTCTGCAACATGTTTAGCAATTCAGTCTTCAAATTACACCATCACTAAATTTATAACTACAGAGCCCAGTCCAAACCCAAACAAAATTAATGGAAGGACCTCCACTGATGTAAATGGTTCATATCAGCCCATTGGCATGTATATCTTGGCTGATTTTTAACAAAGAATATGAAGTGTTACCATTCCTTTAAGAAAAAGAAATGTATTTTGCAGATAAATTCACAAAAGAAGTGCAGATACTCTAGAGCAGCATCAAGTGCAAGCAGGTGGTACAGTATCTTTTTCCAAAGTCTTCTGCCAGAAACTCTTGAACTCTGTACATCTTGTAACAGTTCTCCTCTCAGACAAACTGAGCCAAGACACACACATTTCATATGGATAAACAGGAAAGTAAATACAACTGAATGTGTTCTCTTGGGTGCAGCACACAATTTCAACTGAAACCTACAGAGATCTAGGCCATTTTGTTATTGCCCATTAAAAGAGTATCCCAAATGCCAAAATGAAAGGATAATGCCTCATGTGGATGTATGCTTCATTGAATTTAGTACTTTAGTATCTCCATGAATGCTCTGGACAATTCAAAGTTAGTTCCTATCAAACCGTCTAAAGTCTGTTAAAGTGGAATGAAACCTCCATATAATTTAATTCTTGCTACTGGCCATGGTAGGAATAGTCATGGAAAAAT